GGGGGGCTGTATCTGCCAGTCCTAATCTGCATGTTATCTTTAGCATACTGAGCGATTTAATCTTCAGGCAGGATGTAGTAATTATCTTGCCCTTTTATTGTAGATTGTGTGTGACGTCCAATGCTACTAAGCAACAAAAAGGGTAGGAGTGTCTGTCATTGTGTCTAACGCAGCATTCTGAGCGCTGACATCAACATTGCACTGCCCAGGACAGTCAATATTTTGAAGGGGGGGGAGTGTAGGGGTCCTTAGACTGGTTGATGCTGAGTAATGGTCATAAAGGAAGCCTGCACATGCTCATAAAACAATAACACATCTTTGATAGTCTGGCAAGCTGCACCGCAGATGTAATTGTTTTTTTTTTACTTTTGTAGAGCTTTAAGCTGGCCGTACACTGATAGAAATCTCATGATGAAAATCTGATCAGAACATTCCATAATGCCATCAGAGACTTGACAAATATCGTTCAATCGTTTGTTTTATTTCAACATTCGGTTTGGATATGAATGGAGTTTCTCAATCGAAAACCAGAGTCACTTTAATTTGTCCTATAATAGTCTGTTGTTTTTTTCCCCAAACAATATTCTAACCATGAATACTCAGTTTAAGGCTCCCTTCACACGGGCTGACCTGCACAGATCCCCTCCTGATCAGAGCAGTACAGAGCGGCTGTCACCGCTGTGACATCCATGTCTGTCCAGTTTTTTTTTTCCTCCACCTTGCAATGGAGGAGAGAACTGAACCTGCCAAACTCCCATGTCCGTCTATGGGGAATCGGATGTAAGGGGACATGTATCAGATTACCTCTGATCAGGCTCGGTCAGGTCCGGTGAAACAGATCTCTGATCCGTTTGTCTTTTCTGGACCTGGCCGGAGTCGGGGGGCAACCAGGCATTCGTTTACACACCGCTGCACATAGGCTAACATCAGGCATCCGATCTGGTCTGCCTGAAAAACTAACAGGCGGACCGGATCAGACCGCCTTTGGGAAAGAGGCCTTAAGCTGGCCATACACTGCTCTATAATGAAACTCCATAAGCTCAATTCACAAAGCTTTAACACCAGCAGTCACTGCTCTAAAGGCTGAATGAAAAAATAGAGCAGATTGCTCCATCAGCACTACAGGTGCGCTGATCGAGGAATCCCTGCGGTTCCTTTTGCATCCTGACAGTGGCCGCCGGCCCCTGTCATAATACCCAAACAAAGCTGGCAGCTCATTGGCTGAGGGCTCTGTATGCGGATTTTCCGACCGACTCCTTCAATCAGCTGACCGAGGGATGCCGGCCGAAAGAGTGCCAGCAGCTGCACCCACTGTACAGATTTCGGCCAGTTCCTAAAATGCCTCTCACTGCTAATTATCCATTCTATCATTTGTCACTGCCACTATCACTGCTAATTATCTAGTTCTATCATTTGTCATCCTACAGTAGATAATATTCACACATCTCTTCTTCTTTAGAAACATGTTCATTTCTTATGCTGTAACTAGAGGTGGGCAAATCGATATTTTATTGCTGTAGCCAAGAATGCAAAAAGACATTTTTTTAAATATAAAAATCAATAAGCTATTGAGCCAGTCACTGGACTCATTTATAAAACTTGAAGCAAATGAAGGTGGGTCTGTTGCTTGGATTATATTCCAGCTGCCATATTTCAAAGAAGGATGAGAATGCAGTAAAAGGTAACATTTCATTGGTTACTATGGGTATTGTTTGTAAACCAACCCACAAATATAGACCACGATTGTGTATTTGGATCACAAAGTACCTCCAACATTTTTTTTAGGTGGATATCCTCATTTTTTTGTCTTACTGATACAGTATTTCTAATCTGTTATTTTCATTTTTTGTTGTTGTTTACAACATTCTATATATGGTTTTTCTTTCCGTGTACCCATTTGTTTTCAGACCTTTTAATATTTTGACATATCTAAGCCAAAACTTGATTTTATTATTTCTGACAAAAAACAATCACCTTTTACCTCTCTGCTGTTTCATTATTTTGGGGGTAGACCTGCATTTCTTAAAAGTATGTCTTTTCTCCTGTCACCTTGATGTTTCAGAATTATTCAGTTTGTGATTTGTTTTAACAAGTATATATATGTAAGGGTTTCAGTCAATGAATTTTGCTTTTGGAATGGGCTGCTTGCCTGGCTGATTCAGGGCCTTCTTTCAAGGCTTTGTGAGCCACTGGCCTGAAACAAATCTAAGATTTTTAACAATTTTCACTTCAAGCCCAGCTTAAAGTGACCCTAAACTCAGGAGTTACAAACTTAAAATTGCATTCAGATACACTAACTATTAGGGATGCACCGATACCAGTTTATCGGTATCGAGTACCGATTTTTTTTTTGTGTGCGGTACTTGCCGATGCCGAATATTGGTACCGGAAGTCCCATTAAGGAAGCCGGGCGGCGTGTAATGACTCGCCGCCTTGCTTCCCGATTAGCCGTGAAGTCATCTCCATGCTCCCTCGTCACCAGCTTTCTGGCCAATCAGGAAGCTGGGGGGCGGGTAATGACTTGACGCCTGTCTTCCTGATTGGCCAGCTTCACGACCAATCAGGAAGCTGAGCGGCAAATCATTACACGCCGCCCGGCTTCCTGCTTGGCCAGGAAGCTGGCTCCATGCTCCCTCATCACCAAGTGATAACGGAACTTCCGGTATTGGGATAGGAATCTGGAGCATTTTTTGTGTATCACTTGACTGTAGATCCTCAAATCATCTCTGAATTGGTGCTGACACTGTCCTTCCTTCTGGAGGGTGGCTACTTTTGATCCTAATTGTCCCCCTGTGTGTTGTGAAGTAGTCACTGCTCCAAGCTCACTCCCGTGACAGAACCTCATGTTTAGTTTACTAATTTGTATGGAGATTGTAGTCTATCACAGGAGTGAGCTTGGAGCGGTGACTACAACACACACAGGGACCGTGGGGAACAAAATTAGCCCCCTCCAGAAGGAAGGACAGTGTCAGCACCAATTCAGAGATGATTTGAGAATCTACAGCCGAGTGATACACAAATTAGATACATTTTTGTTAATAGTGAAGGTACTTGAATGTATTTTTAAAGGAGAACTATGAGGTGAGTGCTTTTCACTCGCCTCATAGTTCTAGCCGACCTGTGACAATGAGACTGTCACAGGTCGGCTCAATAGATCGGGAGGTGAGCGAACACATACCGGCGTTCGCTCACCTCTCAATCCTGTCACGGCTCTCTGCCGTGACAGGAGAGGGGCTGGATTCCCCCCTCCCTGCTCCGATCCGCCAGCGCTGACTAGCGGAACGGACGGAGCCAGCTGTTAGTCACGCAGCTGGGTGGATCCCGGAACAATTGTCGTGATCCGCTTCAGCTGCGGCGTCTCAGTATACCGCAAGCAGCAGCTCGCGGTATACTGAGCCTAGGGTGATGGGAGGATGCTAGTTTGTGTCCTCCCGTTACCCTAGGAGAACTATGGGGAAAAGCCTTAACCCCATAGTTCTCCTTTAAGATTTAACTCCTGAGTTTAGTGTCACTTTAATAACTTTGCTGCATTGCAGGGCAGGTTTAGGACAAGTTATGAACTTGTTTCCTGGAGAGGGTTTGGGTGCCCTTTACTAACAGAGCTCCAGGATTTTCCCATTTTAGATAGTTTGTCCATCTCTTTCTTTAAATCTGTATTCTCATCTGCTGTAAATGTACAACTGTCTCTACCGTTTCTTTATTATAGAAGTAAGGTGAACTCTATGGCTTTGATTTGCTGTCTTACTGATTACTATATTTGTCTTGCTAAATGTTCTAATTGTTGTTCTGTAATAATAAGCAGGATTTGTTTTCCGGTGAATCTGAATTCCATTGATGGGTAACTTATTCTTAGCCATTGTATGTTTATGTATTCTGAGGGGATTGTGGACATAGCTGAAAGGGGATCTGTAGAGCACATACAACCCTAACCCCTATCCTGACCACCCTATTTATTTATTTTTTTAAAATTACATGGGGGTAGAGCCATGTAATACTTGTAATGCTGCAAAGAATCTGCATACAGAGTCTTATCATTTGACCATATACCTAGGAATGTGGTCATCTAGCCTCAGCTAAAGCAGCATTTTAATCTTCCTTTTCATCTAGGAGTATTTAACTGAATGCCAAGGCATATGGTCACATGGCTTTCCATTTTCCTCTCAAATTACAAGGCAGTCAGTACGGGAAACAGATGTATTTTTACTATAGGCCTGCTATTAGGTCCAGTTCGGCAGGTATAGTCCAACCAGGAACAGATTATATTTCTATGGGGAGGGGGACAAATTGATCATCCCTGCTACTAATTTCCAGATCAGTCACTGTTGCTCCTCAGAGGTGAGTCTAGCACTATAGGTTTCTGCTCAGTCCAGATATATGTATATTCTCCTTAAACAATCACTCTTGTTCATGTCCTTCATGTTCTTTAGAAAACCTCCTTAATGATCTGATTTTTTTTTTTTTGACTGTCATCTAATGCCTTTGCTTTATTCACCTGTCCGTTCCAGAGATCCTTTTCTGTAAATGCTGCTTTGCTGTGGAATAATGTCAGTGAACTGTATTGTGTTCTATGCAGAATGGCTGTGGATGTTGAGTGTGGGGACATTGGAGACTGGGAAGGTCGCTGGAACCATGTTAAGAAGTTCCTCGAGCGATCTGGACCTTTCATACACCCCGCGTTCGAACCAAGCAATGAAGTGAGAAACCAACTCTTTACATTCATTTGTCTTTAGCTTTGCACTCTGGATAGGTGAAATGAGAGTGAGATTTCACATCTGTGTCTTAAGACATGTGCTATAGTATGAACCATTGATTATTATGGGCAGCTGAAGATTGACATTAAAGGTGAACTCCAGGCAAATTGCCTAGTACACAGATAAAATACACATATAGGAGCTATCTTGCCTGCTAAAGGATTTGTGTTTCTGTCAATCCAGGTCTGAGATTTTCACAGCTCTTCCATACAGCACGGCTCTGTCTGGCAGACCAAGAGACCTGACTGTTTCTCCTCTGCCCTTAGTCCAGCACATTGCTGCAATGTGGTCACACAAACAATGTGATGCATTACCATTAGTTCTTAATAGTTCCACAATGATCCATGCCAATTGGAAGCATGGTGACCTTCTACTGTGTGCCGTGGTGTCATGTGTTGCCAAAAATGGTACGTGTCTGATTTTTAGTGATATTTGGTGCATTACCCGCCTATATAAATAAATTTGCTGCCTTAATGCAGTGCACATTAACACACGGCATAATACCTGTTAACGCAATGCTCCAAACAGTGTGAATAAGCCCTTGCCTTGTCCTTTCCCAAACATGTGAACAAGAAACGGAGAAACAACAGACTGATGAGCTAACAGCATGTCCTTTGTTAGCACGAGTATTACGGCACAGCTGAATGGCTCTATGTGCTGCTTCCAGCCTGAGCTCTACTGTACATGGATTGCTAGAGGCAGAAACCAAGTCAAAATCAGATACAATGCTTGTATTCAAAAATACATGAACTGCATTAATTTGTATCTCCTGCATCTGCCTGGAGTTCAGCTTTAAAGGAATCTGGTGAAAAGAGAAATATGGGGCTATCACTGCTGATATCCCTATTAAAATGCTAGTTTGCCTTCCTGACCCAGATCATGTATGTAGATAAGGAGCGCTGAATTCACTGCAACTTCACTTGCTGCATACTTGTTCTGGATTATTGTTTTGGAAAGTGTTGAAGTCAGAGAATGGCATTTTCAGGAGGAGATCAGCAAGGGCAGCCCCCTTATTAACCTCATGCTGGGTTTATGGTAAAGTAAAACTGCCTCCTGTGTATTTTTCTATGTTGTAAAGATTTTAAAAAACCTTTAGTTATCTAGTTCTGCTCTGTATATATTATGACTGCGCTTACCTTGCCCTTGCTGAAATCTTTTAAAGAAAGTGCTTAATGTTCTGCCTTTACTATAATTATTTGATCAGCCTTGGAATAAATAATATACACTATATTGCCAAAAGTATTGGGACACCGGCCTTTACACGCACATGAACTTTAATGACATCTCAGTCTTAGTCAGTAGGGTTCAGTATTGAGTTGGCCCACCCTTTGCCGCTATAACAGCTTCAACTCTTCTGGGAAGGTGTCCACAAGGTTTAGGAGTAAGGGAATGTTGGACCATTTGTGAGGTCAGGTACTGTTGTTGAGGGAAAAGGCCGGGCTTGCAGACTCCGCTCTAATTCATCGCAAAGGTGTTCTATCGGGTTGAGGTCAGGACTCTGTGCAGGCCAGTCAAGTTCCTCTACCCCAAACTCACTCATCCATGTCTGTATGGACCTTGCTTTGTGCACTGGTGCGCAGTCATGTTGGAACAGGAAGGGGCCATCCCCAAACTGTTCCCACAAAGTTGGGAGCATGAAATTGTCCAAAATGTCTTGGTATGCTGATGCTTAAGAGTTCCCTTCACTGGAACTAAGGGCCAAGCCCAACCCCTGAAAAACAACCCCCCCATAATCCCCCCTCCACCAAACTTTACACTTGGCACAATGTGGTCAGGCAAGTACCGTTCTCCTGGCAACCGGCAAACCCAGACAAGTCCATCGGATTGCCAGACAGAGAAGCGTGATTAATCACTCCAGAGTATACGTCTCCACTTCTCTAGAGTCCAGTGGCGGCGTGCTTTACACCACGGCATCCGACGCTTTGCATTGGTGATGTAAGGCTTGGATGCAGCTGCTCTGCCATGGAAACCCATTCCATGAAGCTCTCTACGCACTGTTGTTGTGCCAATCTGAAGGCCACACCAAGTTTGGAGGTCTGTAGCTATTGACTCTGCAGACAGTTGGCAACTACTGAGTACTGTGCGCTTCAGCATGCGCTGTCCCCGCTCTGTCATTTTACGTGGCCTACCACTTCGTGGCTGAGTT